GTCGCGCTACGTAGCGCTACAAGTCTGAACGCTGCCTAATTCTTCTAGGATCTGCGTACGCTGCTATCAGCGCGCGCGGACAGTCTCCGCGCTCGTCCCCCTTTCCCGGATGAATGCGCTGCGGGCTTCATGAGTGACAGTTTGTTCACTGATAGTCAAAGGTCCTCAGTTGTTACACAGTTTTTCGTTTTTTTTTCTACTGTTAGTTGGTATTAGCAGTGTAAGACGGGAATAAATGATTCGTGAGACAGACGAAGCAGGACATCGGCTCACCGGCCTCAAACAAGCATGTCCGTAGAATTCATGCTGTGCTGCTAAAGTTCCTTACTCCCGGTGCTCTCCATTATTTTTGTTTGCGTGGACAGCCACGTCACGACTGGCTTGGCGAGGTTTGTAATGAACGCCTCTGCCCACATAGTGGGGTTTGTTTGCAAGCACAAAGGCAAAAAGTCGACAACTAGTCAGTTCTGTTCTTCCGATGAGTCTTCCCCTGGAAAATCTCGACTGGTTGGGACTGAGCAATGTGATGGGAACCCAAATGGCGGATATTAGATTAGCCAGGACGATGTCATGCGCCTGCTCTGAAACAGGAGAATCCGGAAAAGTGGAAATGGACTTCCTGTTTTAGCCACTTAAATTTATATCTACTTCCTGTTATAGGGCATCATTCAAGTAGGGATGAATAGTGTTTCTTGTCTGCTTATGCGATACTGCTCTAACAGAATATGTTAGGAGTGGCGTAGGCACTGCTAGATACTGCGTTACTTCCAGCACAGCAGTAATGGACTTCTGTGATGACAAGAGTGCCATAAAAGATGCTATTTCCCCATCAGAAACGAGTGAAATTTTCATTTTGTTCCGCATTAACTATGAATTCGTTTTTCGAAGAGTGTTTGCTTCGACATTTTCAGCGTGCCTGTTTTGAATTTGTCACACAGTGAACGGATCAATGTGAAAAAAATGCAATTGTTTGTTCCACGAACTCACATGCAAGAACGAAGGAGGTCACAGTAGAGATGAAACCAGAAAGGAATGAGTTGAATGGGAACGTTCCGACCATAAGACAGTAGAGAAACTGAAACCATTATTTCATTGTCGATATTAACCAAAAACCCTAACATGTATTCGTTACAAGGGAATAACTAAGGTAATATCACGCGCTGCTTATTTTCAGTTTCAGTTTGTCAGTTTGAAACTCTCGCGACCACATCAGCTCAATGATGATGTCAAGCTGGAGTCATCTTCTACGCAGAGACTTTTGTGAACAATATCTAGGAAATAAAATGATTCCACCAACAACTCGAAGGTACCTCCCGCAAACACTGATGGTGAGAAGTGGGACTCAATTAATTTGAAAGTGAAAAACAAAACTTGAAAATCCGTCAGAAGTGCCCTGGACAGAACTCCCTCCTTATCATGTGTAGAGCTTGCACAAGCATATGGCGAAAATGGAGCGTGTTTACCGTGTTCTCACTTCGTTGGCCCCACATACCTTATCATAACAATTTCAGCTCCTACCACGTCACCCTCAATCTTAATTGGAAAGAGCAGTAGTAGTAGTACAACCACACCATGAGTGTGCCCTAGAGATGAACCATGGACGAACGTGTTTCACTTCTATGGGCCCTATAAAGTTGTTAGGAGGCCATAGCTTTTGTAAGCACCTGCTCATAGCTTTAGTCGGAGGCGGAGTACTGGTTCGCCACGAGCGCCTAGCGTCCTTAGCACCCCTTTTCGAGCACCGAAGACGGCGCCTCTGCTTGCAGACCGGAGTACCTCGCCCAAAACGATGGCGTCGGTGTACCAGGTGAACGCGATACGCGCCTTTAATGCAGTTAACCCAATGAAATGTTTCCCAACTTTACAGATTTCTGTAGTTCCAATGAAGGATAGCATGTCAGGCCGGATGGGCTTGACGCGGCGTCACCCCGTCCCGTTCTCCCGGTGTAGAAGCGGGTGCGCGACAATGATAAAAAACGACCGATAGGAACAATATGATGCAGCCTCGTCTCTTGCTGGCTCCAACCATTGGTGTAAGGGGGTCTGGCGCCGCGCCACCCCCCTCCCCCGCCTACTATGCCCCTTCGTTCGTAGGTGAAACTGTCGTATCAACAATATTCGCGCTCAGGAATTCAGCG